ATTGTGTTGTTTGTGTTCACAAAAATGGCGCAAGGATATTGACCAACAATCGATCGATTAGCAAAAGTAATTCCATTGGACTTCCAAGTGGCTGTTGGACAAAACTTTGGTTGATTGAATGAAAGAGCTAAAACGAGAAAAATATAAAAAAGTATCAGACAAGAACTGTAATCAAAATTAAATGAAATTATTAATTTATATATTCATAGAAGAAAAATAAAGTTTCTTTAAACCAATTTTTCATGAAAAAGACATTTAGAAATGTTTTTTAATATTGGTTTTAGAAATGATATTTATTAGTTTTCATATGAAATATGAATTTCGATATTGTTAAAATATTTTTGTTTAAAACAGCAATGCTGATCATTTTAGAGAAACAATTTTCTTATTACTTTTTATTGAAAAATCCTCTGGAATGTCTGAATAAATTGTATCAAAGAAAACAGTTCAATAAAACAAATTCTTTATTTAAGGAAATATAATCAACAGAAAAGAAGAAATCTTTATCAATCAAATTTCTTTCTTTGCAACTTTAAACATTTCATTCACCTTTCTCAAGTGAATTGTAATTGTTAAGCTGTTTTCTTTTTCAAAAAATAATTCAGCAGATATGTCATTGTAGATATTTTTTTTGAAATATTTATTCAAAGTTTCTCAAACTTCTTTCTGATAAACGTTTAAAGTTAATTTAGAGAAGAAACCAAAGGAAAACAATAAACGTCCCTATGTTACCTCAGTTGTTTTGTTATTGGGAATAAAACTCGATTTATCTTAGTAAATTTCATTAAGAAATAAAAAATAATGCCAGTACACGTCATATCGGTACTGAATGAAAAAGGAAAAAAAATGAGAGAAAAAAAAAGATTTATTATAATCGACAAAAATCCTTCTTCTCTCTCTACAAACGCTGTTTGTATAAACTGTCGCACGAAAATTTTTTTATCTTAAGAAATTTCAAAGGTTCATCAAAAACTACAGTAGTTCGTCTTTGTTCAACCTAAATAAAACAAATCTTTCTTTGTAATCTTAACAGCGTGTTACAGATTTCAATGTTTTTTCTATGAAATAAAGAACAAAACAGGAAAATCTTTATTTTCATGTGAAAAAGATAAGTAATACTCTTAACACAAAAACAATCATTAACTAAAGATCTTCAAAAAAAAAATTTAAATACTAGTAAAACTAACAAATCTTTTATCAATCAGAAAAAACTTTTTCTCATTGAAGTTTAGAAATGTAAACAAAATGTTGTTAAGTGATTTATGTAAAATTTCATTTGAAAACAATCTGGAATTGATTTAATTAAAAATCAATTTTTCTTATTGACCATCTTAAATAAATAAATTTGATTAAACAACTATTTTTATTCAAAATCAGATCAATAGATTTTATTTATTTTATCAAATAAACAACTTTTTTCTTTTATAGAAAATATTCTTTGTTTATAATTATGAAAATAATAACATATAATATCTCTCATTAATAATTACATATGTCAGACTTACAGATTTACTTCGACTATCAAATATTACTCTCTGCAATTAAATAATATGATCACTATCAAAAGAGCAAATCATTAATCAATCATTTCTTTATGAGAAAATTCATTTTTTATAATATTTCATAATGAAAGTTATCTCTCTCGAAGAGAAACAATGACTAAATTCATTTTACACAAAAAAAGAAGAAAAATTAGGTTTTAGAGTTGTTACATTTTATTTGTCGTATTTTTCTTGAATCAAACATATCAAAATATGAAATATGAAGTCAAATCATAGAATAATTTATATTAAAACTATATACATCGACAAAGATATGAAGAGATTTTATTTCGATAAAAACTGTTTCACTGATGAAATATTCTCGGAGACAAATGAAATGAAACATGAAAACCCTTTCTACCACTCAATTAAAGACAGAACTTTTTCTTTCTCTCTTCTTTAATCTCAACAAAAAGGCGAAGATTGTTTGTCTTATACGATTGACACATGACTCTGTCTAATTTGAATAATTTATTTCCTTAGACATATTCTTTTACACATTGGTTTAATTAATTTTTCTCAACTATTTTTGTTTTCTTTTGTGTTTTATATTGAAATGTCTTCATTAACTTCTGTTACTTATGTATTCACATCTCTTTATTTCATTCAACTTTTCTTCAACTTACCAAAAGAATCTTTCATCAGGAAAATTTTTGAATTCGAGAATTGTCTTGATCAGTAACAAATATGTTTCCAGAATAATCGAAACTCAAACTAAATGGATAATACAATTGATTAGATTTTAAACCCACTCCATAACATCCAACTAAACATCGAAAACCACCCAAGCTTGAACCAACAATACGATGATTGTTATTATCCACAATGAATAAATATTTCGCAGCATCTAATATAACTCCACTTGGACAATCAAGTCTTATTGTTGAATTCGGTGACCTACTTCCAGCCACCGTAATACCATT